CCCCAAAACCCCAAAACCCCAAAACCCCTTTATATAATATATTTATTGAAATTAAAATGAACTTGTCTAAAAATACTGAGAAGGTATGGTCAAGAGATTGGTTAGATTGAGTATTAGAATATATTTTTGTGTGAATTTATGATTATAGATCTCAGAAATGGGATATGCGAAGGTACCGAATGCTCCTCCTGCTTTAAGTAGTGATACAAACTCTGCTAATAATTCAAGGCAAGACTTTATGAAGAATGAAAATACTCAGAGTAAAACTAATCATAACAGAGCAGATACTACATTGTCTATAATGACTGTCACTGGCCATCAGAAAGTAAATTTATCTCTATCTATTTGTTCATACATTCTAGAGCTTTGGAAGAGAGTCAATTTCAGGCCAAAGGAATAATAAGATCAGGGACATTCATGATAGGAATAGATCGCTTGCAGATTCAAAGATGAAAGAGAGGCTAAAAAGGAGAAAATTTAATAAAACTTTGATTAAAACTAACCAGAGCTCAAATATGATGACTCATCAATACCTCTCTGGTCCTTCGATTCCATGAAAGACTCAGAAGATACTGAAATAAATCTCCTCATGCTGAAAAAGTTAATAAATTTCTCCAAAGCAATATGAAATTGAAAACCCACAAGAGAGGACTAAGTTTTCAAAATGAGTTGGAAAACTCCTTCAATAAGCAAGATTTAATAGATTTATCTAAATAAACCGAGACCCTCCAGCCTATTAAGAGAGAAGAGGAAAGGTTTCTCTACTTCTTCACATAGATTTGATAAGAAAATTGAATTCGAAAGGTTCTATGACACTACTCCTGGGCCAGGATCATATAACTTGATACAAGATCTAACTGATAAAGCAAATGAATTAATGCTTGATTCAGAAATGTCACCTGATCTTCAATGAGATTCAAAATTTAGAGGAAAATTATCTAGTATCATGAATAATTCGGCAATACTTCACTCGAACAGAAAATTTGGCTCAAATAATAAGGGCACCTTTGGATTTAGTGAGAGAGTCTTGTTCAGGAATCAACATTCTCCAGGTCCAGGTCCAGGTCCGGGTCAGTACAATAGCGTTGAATTTGAGAACAAGTTGAGAAAAAGAATAATATCTCACAAAATTAAAGAGAAAAAGCCAGCATTGAAACTACCTTTTCCATTGAGCAACCCATTAAACTATGTGAATTCATACACTGTCAATGTTTACTATAAACCTGGATTCCCTGGTGTAGGTTGATACGATGTAGATAAAGGAGAAAAACATGTAAAAGGATCAGTTAAATTTGATCTTAAAACCAGAAGGAAAGATTTATTCAATTCTAATCAGAATTCTCAAGTTCCAATCCAATATAACTCAGAAGGAACTTTTAATAATAAGTCTATTGGGAACAATAATTCCCCTGGGTTATGTCAACCTACCTCAAGAAAACTTGTTCATTTAAGCATGTTTGGGGACGGAAGTAAAATTCCAGGAAGTAAAGGTAACTTCATTTCTCCTATAAAACGAGCTTTCACATCATTTATCCAAATATTTTCATGGGAAGCAACTATAATGTATCCTAAATTCTAATTTAGAAATGAAAATAGCTTAATGGCCTAAACTTTGCTCTATTAAAGTTTGAAGAATTTGCTGATTTTATCAACTCTGACTTTTTTAAGTTAAATTTGTCTTCTACTGAAGTTGATAATCATAACATTGATTAAATATAGCAAATGTACATTATTCGAGAAACGATAAGAATGAGAATATTACTCCTAAACCTAAAAATTTAGGCCTGATTGAAGGACCTGCCCACTCGCATCATAAAAGATATCTATCCCATGATAATGGAATGGGAGATTTAAGTAGGGATAGATTTGGTGCTCCAGTCGAACCCAAGTCTACACAGTTTAGAACACCTGGTCCTGGATCATATGAAAATGATTATGTCCAGTTCACTAAAAAGAATGATCATAAATTAGGAGTAGTAGGATTATCTGATAGGAATTATACATTTGGATTTGATAATTTTCAAGCAAATCCAGGTCCGGCATACTATGATCCTCAAGTTATTGACAAAAAGATATCCTTTCATTATGACCGAGTTGATTAATTACAGCTAGATATTAAAACACCAATAGAACCCTCCTATCCTGGGGTTTTGGGGTTTTGGGGTTTTGGGG